GACGAGCCGCAATGTAGGCAAAGGCTTGAAGCAAGAGTTTCCCAAAGCAGCTGACCTCCTTCCCCGGTCCCTCGGCATCCAGGGCGTTGAGCTCAGGGCCTGGGTGTTGCGGGGAGGAGGCAGCCAGAAATGGGGTTGCAACGCACCCCGCTGCGGTTGGCAGTGCAAGCCAACCCCACGAGTGCACGAAAGGAAGATTCAGGGAAGCTTCCTTTGCTGCATGCCTTGCCTCTGAACGAACTTGTAGAACGTTTGCAAGCGCTTACACGCAGCATGCCAAAACCGTCGGATGGCTGCCGAGCCAACTCTGCGCTAACTCATGCTACAAGCAACATCTGAGGGGGACAACGCGCCGAATATTTACTAAAAAATACCAAATTTACTACTAGTTTTACACACTTTCCTCTCTGGTGAAGTTATATATTTGTTTTATTTCTTTGAGTACTTGCAGACATCTGTTTCCCCAGGGTTTCAGCGAATGGTAGTTCTTACACGTGGCCACGTAGCGATTTACCCCTAACAAAACGACTGAAACACGATAGATTTAATTTATTTGCTCCTATTGCAATAAAGGAAATCATCTTTGTTGTTCTTATGTCTACACTGCAAATGGACAGAGCTGTCTCGCGACGTTCTGAAGGAAGCTCACGTGCTGGGTCTGCTTGGTCCGTTCGCGGGCGAACCGATCAAAGCTTGACCTACCTCAGCTTCAGGGTATGAAGAGCCGATACCGAGATGCCATCCTTCCCAGTCAATAGGAATTTTAGGATGAGATCAGCCTGTCTTCCCTAAAGTAACTTCTATTCGTTTAGCGATAGCCCGTTCACGGCGGACTGTCGGATAATAAAGACAGACTTTCGTTCTCGTTCGTGGAGTAGCTCCTGCGAACAGGCCTTTTCCCCTAATAGCTTTTGTTTTCTTACTTTTTTATTTAGGAAAGACCTCTGTACACCTCCTTTGTTCTCTAGGGGACCGCCGGATTCGAGCAGCCCAAGCATGCACACCAGATCCGTACATTGCAACAGCAGGAAAACTGCCTCAGTAACACGCTGCATACCTTTGTGTGTTCGTACACGTTTGCAACGACAGTGTGTTCACCGGTGATTTATCGGAGCGGCAAGTAACATTTCCTTTATGCATCCAGCGGACTCCGTCTTTGCAATTGGGGGTGAGGATGAATCGGAACCGGAGGAAGACCTCCTGGCTGAAGGGGCTCGGAGGCTGGGCGCCCTCGCTGCTGGCGTTTCGCCTACAGTAGGATCTTCCCCAGGTAGAGACGGGCCCACAAGTGCAGAAGCAGCGAAGGCAGCTTCGTTGGTTGCCACTCCCCTCGCCGCGCCTGCCGTTGCGGCTGAATCTGCTACTTCGCCTGCATCAGGAGTCCTTCAGTCACCTCCGGGGCCTAAGCTTCTTTCAGAGTCGCATCGCTGTGGTGTAGACGTCAGCGGTCTCGGCACGCCCAGCCGGTGCAGCACAGGAGCGGGGCAAGAGCAACTGCGTGCAACAGAACGGGGCAACAACAGCAGCAGCAGCAAGAGCAGCGCTACTCACCGTAGTTCGACACTCGACGAGAACAGTTCGGTGTACAGACCAGAGGTAGACGGTCCCCCCATCGTTGGGTATGCCTTATCCCTCGTTTCCCTTCTGAGCATCAGGCTTTGTACGTGCCTACAGANCCCCCCATCGTTGGGTATGCCTTATCCCTCGTTTCCCTTCTGAGCATCAGGCTTTGTACGTGCCTACAGAGGAAACGTGCACTAGCAGCTCCATGTGTAATTTTCTGCGCAGCATCTTCGTAGTGGCGCAGTCAGCGTTGCGAAGGCCTGAAGTATTGTTCCATCATCAAAAAGCGAACTGCGAATGTTTGCCACTCCATCCGCTCGACCTCTCACGGTGCTCGGAGGTATGCTGGTGTCTGTTTATCCCCTTTCCCTTTGGTGCCTTTCATCGTAATTTCCCATATTTAATTCGTGTGAGCACATCAACAGCTTCTCCGTGGAGACATAATTAGGGAACATACAGGAGGCTTCTCAGCACGGGGATTAGGAACCCGCAGACACAAGAGCCGTGGGCGAGGCGGGGCGATGGGAAGTAAACGGAGCAATATCCGTGTGATAGTGGGCTCTTTTGTTGGAATTCGTGAGTATCCTTAAATTTTCGCTGTGTATGCAGCGTTCTCTGTGGAGAGGGCAGTCAGAGGGTGGTGGGTCGGGGGCATTTTCGTGGAGTGGAGAGCCCGGCGAGACAACTTTGCTGCAATGGGTGGAAAAGTTTGCTCTCCCGGAGTTAACCCCAACCAGGGGTCATCTCCAGGTGGCCCGTACAGGCTCAGGGTCGCGTGATTGGGAAGGCGAGCCCCCAACTGACCAACGGCACGCATCACACATATTCTTCACTGTGCCACTGGCGAAGAGCAACAGTTACGTCTTCGGTGTTTCGTGTTACTCCGTTCAAAGCGAGCGTTTGGTAAGAACAACTGCGCAAGCTTCTTGAGGNTCCTGTCTGGTGCATAGCGACGCACTGGGGGCCGGCACGCTCACTGCTATATTGCAGCCTGACAAATGCTTTGTGAAGCTGTAGGTAGGAGTAAGCTGAAAGTGTGTATGTGGTCCTGCGTGCAAATTTGTCTGCAGTGGGAGCCATCTGCACCAGAGGATGCTCAGGGGATGTGCGCCGTTTGCTTGGTGGCTCGCGTTCCCTTTTGGGGCCTTTTGCTGTTTCGTCTGCTGCCAGTCACTGCAGCTTTTTTCGAACTCATGGAGGGAGCTTCATCTGGTTCTCCGGGCCGCCTTTCGTCCTCTGGACTGCCTACACAGGTGCTCGTTCAGCTGTACGACCAGCTGAACACTGTCAACTTCCACCTTATGAGATACACGGAGATCACTTTCAACCTTGAGGGCGGGTTGCCACCCTTCATCATGGCCGTCACTCCAAGTACGACAGACTGTAGCGTCAGGCTTCTTGGTACAGCTGCAGACTCGCTGATGGCACGCCTGGCCCGCTAGAAAGGTAGAAAGCTGTTACGGTTGACTTAGGTACTCTGGCGTGTTTTGGGGACTCAGGGCAGCTTCTGGTTCTGGTCAAGGCTCTTTTGCTGGAGAAAAAAATCCTTTTTTACTCATGCGACGCCTCACGGGCTTCAACAGCTGTCCTTTCGTTCATCTCTCTACTTCCAGGTACTGCGTGCCACCCCGCAGAGTGTTAGGTTCATTCCATTTGTTTCCACACTACCCTTGAATTTATGTGGAGGACCCAAGACAGGTGGATTCTATTACAGGGCTTAGCGCAGGAAGCAACCCTAAGGGGGGAGACGGTGTGTTACCATTCTTGGAGGGTCTAGTGCAAACCGTAACGAATGATTGGATCTGGGCATGTGGACAGCGCTTGATGCTGTCACTCCTGGTAGAAGCAGGAGGCCCCCAGGCTGAGACGCTGAATGCTCTCTCCTGTGGGCGTTGTCTCTGCAGCGGGGTTGGCCTGCGGGTTTTCGAGCGACGGCTTTGGCGAGCATGAGTATCGGTGGAAACGTCACGGGCTGCCATTTAGGGTGTTTGAGGCTCGCTCCGCCTTCTTTCCCATCTTACCATTNGGTGGAAACGTCACGGGCTGCCATTTAGGGTGTTTGAGGCTCGCTCCGCCTTCTTTCCCATCTTACCATTGGAACTCGTTGACGATCTGCTACTGCAAAAGCGGGCGTTCCTAATTTCGTCGAACAACCCGACTCTCTTGGCTCACCCAGTGGCCAAGCCAGACATTGTAGGCAAGTTTACACAGATTTCGTCTGTCATATAGAAGCAGTGATCCTGCCACAGCAGCCCTCCCATACTCCAAGAAGATGGCAGTTAGCAGATGGAGAACATTGGAATTTGCTTTTCCTTTGTTCAGTGGACGTGGACGCGAGAACTGTTGAGGTGAAGAACACGTCGCTGGAGCCTTTGCTGCGCCTGACGGGTTGGGAGCAACAGTTCACAAGGCGCATTGTCATGGAAACATCCTTCTCAAGTGGAGTAGCGGAAGGGCAGAGCCCTAGCTGTGGATGTAGCGCTAGCATCTCTAGACATGCGCAAGACCTACTACAGCAAACGATCTCGTCGCTTGCTAGCCACGCGGCAGCACATGGCCTTCACTTCCTCAGGTCCAAGGAAGACGGTGCGTTTTTGCAGGTCAAAATACTGAGTGCCGGTGTGAATTATAATAAGTCCTTTCGTCTACTGCAGAAGACAAAATAGCGTGTGTGTCTGCGCATTTGACTGAGCCCTTTGATTTGACAGAAACTCTTGTGTTTCGTTCTGTTTCGGCCTGCCCCCACAGGAACAACTTCCGAAGTGCAGGGGTTCCACTCTTCAGGGGAAGGCTCTTTGGCTGGGGACTTGCAGCGGCACAGACGAAGGGCTGCCTCAGCCATATCTCCGAGAGACAACCGCCGCCGCAGCAACAGCAGCGGCAGCTTGGGCGGAGGAAAACAGACTAGCCACATGGGCGCTGCAAGGCATCGGGCACCGGAAGAGCGAAAACGTGATGATGCTAACAGTACGCTAGTGGGTCAGAGTAGTACATCTTCTCGAGAACTACGCCAAACAATGCGTGAACGCGGCACGGCCGCGGCTACAAACTCGGGCAGCGTGGACACCGATTCAAAACGGCAACTGCAGCAACAGCAGCTGCACCATAGTGCATCTGAAGATTCTTTGGCCAGTAGTTCCCCTCCGACAGGTGGTGGAGGGGGGTGGTTGAGTGGGCGGATTCGGTGGGGTTGGGAGCGGCAGGGCGAACGCCAGACGCATACCAGTGCCGCCGCCCACACTGGCAAGAAGTCAAGGTACCCTTCTGCTGCCGAGCGATTCCACGGGGAAGCCCTCTCTCCGCCAGTCACCGATGGGGCTGCTGTGGTGTCTGTGGAACGGCCTGCGGAGCAGAGGGCGGTACCAGGCACAGGCCGCTTCCAGCCGGACAGCAGGAGCAGCAGCGACGCCACGGGGCCATCTACTGTCCTTGACCCGAATTGGGAGGCGCATGCTGATTTAATACGTGCAGCTTTTGCTCAGCACCTTGAGCAACTCTGCAGGTACGCACCGACATCGTGCTGGTTTAGCAAGATATTGCGCACGATACCCGAGAGCACCTGCTGTGTGAGCGTTGCACTATTGCGTGCTTTCTTTCTTCCCAACC